AAAATACTGTGGAAACCTTAACGGTAGAAAAATCTGCTTTACTAAAGACTTAGATATAAATAATGCCTCATTATTTACTACGGTGTACGACAACAAAATAACTGCTTCTAAAAATGTAATATATTAGTGACATTTACATTCAAATGTGTATACATTTATAGAATTAGATTATTTACTATATCCTCATCAACACATAACTACATAGAAAAAAATGCACGCTGTGAAAAAACTAATAAACGTTACAAATAGTGAAATAGTGACATGTGGTCTCCTTTATACAAGTAGGGACATTTTCATCACCCGCCATCTTTGAATAAGGTGCTGTTTTAATGTTCTGGCCTCTTCACAGCTTGCTTTTATTGTTCATTACTCTGCAGAAAAAAAAAACTAACTTAAAATTACATAAACACATTTTCAACAACCTACTTTTTTATAGATGTTTTGAATTTGAACAAAACCCAGAAACATCTCTGAGTTCTTTAAAGCTAGGTGACAAAATATTTTCATACTACAAGGTTTCTGAATTTTCGTATAGTTATAAAAAAACTAAACACTTAAAAAAAAAAAAGAAAAGCTAAACCCATCTGTTTGCAGCGAAGGAAATTAAATTCTAAAGTGTTTTCTCACTTTCACTTCCCACACACTGCAGCCTTTGTTTGCAGCTCATACGCATCATTATAAATGTTAACATGGAGGCAATTAAATGTCAACCAACTAAGAGTTTCATTTAAAAACAAAAGTTTATATTAATACATTGCTGTAAAGCAGGCGTTTCATTGAAGGGAATAATATTTACTATATTATTATTTTTAAGGTCATTTTAAGAAAAAAAAAAGATTGTATATTTATTAAAATGCACTTAGAAACAGGGATAATGGAGATTTTTCTGATATCAGTCATGCATGGAATATATGCAGTGAGCAATTAAAGTGGGATTCATTACATCTTAGAGGAACACGATACAAGATTAAAAAGTATTTAATGCTTTTGTTTTAATAAGTCTAAATGTGTTTGATCTAATCTCAGTATGAATCAGGAGGTTTTTAAAAAAGGCTTCAGCTGTTTGTTATTTAGATTAGACAACAAACAGCATGATGAAGGCTGAGGAATACAGCAGTTTGAAGCCCGGTTAGGATAAAACTATATTTCAGTCTAATAAGCTCAATTTAAATCCATTGGAAAATGTAAAGATGAACTCACCTTAAAACCTACCAAGACGAGGCTGTTTACCTAAACCTGAAAGTGATGTTATTTATCTCCTACAGATTCATTATATCATGAATCTTCTATGCAATTCTACGGAAGAGGATTAGGGCTAGTGACAAAAAAAAAAAAAAGTTAACTGATTTTTTAATTTTATTTCAGTTTAAAATGGGAAAAAAGTCAGAATTCTGACTTTTTTCTCAGAATTCTGACTGAATTCTGACAATAAAAAAAGTCAGAATTCTGAGAAAAAAGTCAGAATTCTGACTTTTTTTTCCATTTTAAACTGAAATAAAATTTAAAAAATCAGTTAACATATTTTTTTTCAGTGGCCCTAATCCTTTTCTGTACAATTCTGCATGGCTGCTGCTTTTTTTTTTTTTTTTATAAAACATTTTTTTCATCATCCTGCCTTATAAAATCTCAAGTTTTTCTTGCTAATCTAATAAGTGCTTTTTCCACAGGCCTTTCCTATCTATGTTTAAATGATTTCTCTAACTTTCATTCCTAATTTTTTTCTTCATTCTTCATATTTATTTTGTATTTGTCTGGTTAATTGGATAATTTCACCCTTTGTCTCCAATGGTTCATGTCAGCGGTATCTTTATTTTTTACCTCTATAAAGCACTTTCTCTTGCACTTGAATGTATCATCAGTATTGTATAAATAAAGTTTGACTGGTTTCATTAAGGAAGCAGCCAAGAGGCTCATGTCAACACTGGAGGAGCTGCAGAGATCGGCAGCTCAGGATCCCACCATCCGACCCCAATTAGTTTTCCTTTATATAAGAAATCCTGATGCATCAATGTTTGAAATGATCACAGACTGAATTCAATACTGAATAATCTTTAACTGGAGTATTAAAACTCTAAAACATAGCATTTGCTAAAAGAACAACCCATTCAGAGCTGGAATTAAGCTAAAACTACAACAAAAAGAAAATGCATTTAAAATTATGAAAACTACTTAAAGGTTTCTTTTCTAGCCTTACCCAGTTCAAATTCTGCTAAATATCTCCTATTAAGCACCATTTAAATATCACTTAATATAGAAAGTAAACAGATTAATTGATAAGCAAAATAATCCACTGCAGCAGATTATTTTGCTTATCATTTAATCTGTTTACTTTCTGGATTAATTGCTCATCAATTAATCCAGAAAGTAAACAGATTAATTGATAAGCAATTCCTTAATTGCTTATCAATTATTTTACTTACATATCTATTATAAATATATTATAAATATTTAGCAAAATATTCTGCTAAATATCTCCTATTAAGCACCATTTTAATATCACTTAATATAGAAAGTGAACAGATTAATTGATAAGCAAAATAATCCACTGCAGCAGATTATTTTGCTTATCAATTAATCTGTTTACTTTCTGGATCAATTGATTATCAATTAATCCAGAAAGTAAACAGATTAACTGATAAGCAATTAATTAATAAATTGCTTATCAATTGATATACTTACGTATATAAATATATATATTATAAATATTTGGCAAAAAACTCTGCAAAATATCTCCTATTAAGCACCATCTGAATATCACCTAATCCAGAAAGTAAACAGATTAATTGATAAGCAATTCCTTAATTGCTTATCAATTATTTTACTTACATATCTATTATAAATATATTATAAATATTTAGCAAAATATTCTGCTAAATATCTCCTATTAAGCACCATTTTAATATCACTTAATATAGAAAGTGAACAGATTAATTGATAAGCAAAATAATCCACTGCAGCAGATTATTTTGCTTATCAATTAATCTGTTTACTTTCTGGATCAATTGATTATCAATTAATCCAGAAAGTAAACAGATTAACTGATAAGCAATTAATTAATAAATTGCTTATCAATTGATATACTTACGTATATAAATATATATATTATAAATATTTGGCAAAAAACTCTGCAAAATATCTCCTATTAAGCACCATCTGAATATCACCTAATCCAGAAAGTAAACAGATTAATTGATAAGCAAAATAATCCTCTGCAGCAGATTTTTTTGCTTATCAATTAATCCAGAAAGTAAACAGATTAATTGATAAGCAATTCCTTAATTGCTTATCAATTATTTTACTTACATATCTATTATAAATATATTATAAATATTTAGCAAAATATTCTGCTAAATATCTCCTATTAAGCACCATTTTAATATCACTTAATATAGAAAGTGAACAGATTAATTGATAAGCAATTCCTTAATTGCTTATCAATTATTTTACTTACATATCTATTATAAATATATTATAAATATTTAGCAAAATATTCTGCAAAATATCTCCTATTAAGCACCATCTGAATATCACCTAATCCAGAAAGTAAACAGATTAATTGATAAGCAAAATAATCCTCTGCAGCAGATTTTTTTGCTTATCAATTAATCCAGAAAGTAAACAGATTAATTGATAAGCAATTCCTTAATTGCTTATCAATTATTTTACTTACATATCTATTATAAATATATTATAAATATTTAGCAAAATATTCTGCTAAATATCTCCTATTAAGCACCATTTTAATATCACTTAATATAGAAAGTGAACAGATTAATTGATAAGCAATTCCTTAATTGCTTATCAATTATTTTACTTACATATCTATTATAAATATATTATAAATATTTAGCAAAATATTCTGCAAAATATCTCCTATTAAGCACCATCTGAATATCACCTAATCCAGAAAGTAAACAGATTAATTGATAAGCAAAATAATCCTCTGCAGCAGATTTTTTTGCTTATCAATTAATCCAGAAAGTAAACAGATTAATTGATAAGCAATTCCTTAATTGCTTATCAATTATTTTACTTACATATCTATTATAAATATATTATAAATATTTAGCAAAATATTCTGCTAAATATCTCCTATTAAGCACCATTTTAATATCACTTAATATAGAAAGTGAACAGATTAATTGATAAGCAAAATAATCAGCTGCATTTCTAAAAGCAACTTTATTGCTTATATGTTTTCAGCTTAGATAACACCAGTTACATTTGTTATCTTGCATAAACCTAACAACACGGCGGCTGCTGGTTCGTATGTTGGAGACGTTTTTATTCAGAAGGACAAGCGGCTCTGAGTTGATGGAAACGTGCTGTAAATGCAGGGCAATGCTGGAAGAAAACCTGTTAGACTGGAGCCGTGGTTTACCTTCCAGCTCTAGCCAGTCAAAGTCCTGACCTTAAAATAAAAACAATCCTTTAAAACTGATGCAAATTTTCTTTAACTTAACCCTGCATGACTGAGCAGAGGTCTGCAGAATTTACAATCCAGACAGACACTTTTGCATCCAGCCCAGCCAAGCAGAATCTGTTTAAAGTTGGCAAATTTTACATAATAATTTTAAAAATGAATATAATATTTCTATTTTAAAGTTTGAATATTTAAGAAGACTCTAAATTATCAAGTTTATATTTTCTGGATATGTATAGAAGCACATGAAATAAACCTGCTTCTTACTTAACAAGGAAAAGGAAAAAAAAAAAAAATAGTTAGTGCTTTTAGAGTCATTCATCCAGGAAATTCATTGCAATTATTCCATTAAAATGTTGTCAGCTCTTTATATTTAAAAGTCTTTTTTTGCTAAAGTTATTAAAACCCATCGTGGAAAGTCCAGAGAGCCGCTTGAGGCTCTGGAGCTGCAGGTTGCAGACCCTCATCAAAAAAATCCCAATAAAATACAAAAAATGTCAATAAAGGGGGGGTGAATACTTTTGCTGCATGTTTGTTTTCTAAGCAACTAGGAGAAATTAACTTCTGAAAAACAAGAAACAGATCATAACAGATATATATTTATATTATTTTTCTTTAAAACAATCCAACAGCTCATCAACGCAGTCAGAATAGATCAATTCATCAAACATTTCTCAAGAAAAATCATCTCTCATCACAAAAAGTAAGTCCTGTTTCCATATTTACATTAATTAATAATTAAAACAATTTAGGCAGAAAGAAAATCCTCAAAGTACCAAAAGTAAAACAGACTGAAGCCCATTAACCGCCCGTAAAGCCCTGGATTGTAGTTCTAGAATTCACCTATAAAAAAAAGGGGGTCATTACATGACAACTGGATTAAAAGGGATATTAAACTCAAAAATTCATCTTAAAATGATCCTTATAGTGCAAATCTGCATTTAAATTATACTAATAAATATAGTATGTACAAACATACAAATTCAGTTCTTGTGAGTCTTTTTTTGTTTGTGTGCTGGATTAGTGGGATGGAGCAGTTTAGAGTGTTTTTGGCATGACTGTAGTTCATAGAGTGGCACACATGGCTTATTTTCTCCCAATTGTTACGCTTTTGCTTTTAAGCTTCGGTCCCCCTCCAGCCAATAATCTTCTGTCTGCATCTCTGTGAGACGAGAAATGGTCCTTTGAAAGGCAAACCTCTCTTCTTCCCCGCTGAAGATGGACAGACTGCTGGCCTCTTCCTGTCGTCAAAAAAAGAGGGAAAGTCGGCTGAAACAGAAGATCTTCAGCATAATATGAAAACACTAAAGAAAAACATCTTTCAAAAATGTTAGCGGGGGGGGGGGGGGAAGAAAAGTTTCACTGATTATTTGATGCATTTTAATGAAACAATCAGCCATTTAATTCAAGGCCAGTTAGAAGTGCAACAGAATTGGCAAATATATGCATTCAAAACATTACATGGATGAAAAATGTAGGAATTATTCAATTTTAGGAAATCAAACTATAAAAATTAATTGATAATCTGACTTGGTATGAATCACTAAAAATGCTGCAAAAATGAGATACTTTCCTAAAATAATCAGTTCTTTATCAAGAAACATTAAAAAATAAACTGTTAATTTACCCTTTTCTCTCTGGAAAAGGAAGTTATCCGATTTCACCAAAAACCTTAAAAATAACTTTGGTTTACTTGAACAAAAAATGGATCCCAGAACCAAAGAAAAAACAAACAAACAATGAAACCATTTAAAAGCTAAAAGCTGAGATGATCCCAGTGGGACGCCTCGTCTATCAGCATCTTGCATGTACGGCTGGTTTTAAGAACCCAGCATCCCAGTGAGATGAAGATCCTGTCTCTGACTCATTTCCTGTTTTTCAGCCCATTTAAATGGCCTGGCTACATCATCGCTATGCTGCACTTTCTAAATTCACTTAAATTTGATTTAAAGACAGTCTTACAGTTTCCTCCGGTGAGATTAGACGGGGTGGAGTTCATAGTGCATCGCAGCGCAGCGAGCTCATCTCCAAACCATGACACGTCCGCCACCATACATCTAAGGGATCTTTTTCAAGAATCTTGAATTTTTAATTAAGGACAAACATTTCCTCTGTTCAACAAATAATCAAATTAATCTAACCGCCCCCATGGCTTTATCCAAATTCAAAAATCCTTTTTTTTTTCCCCAAAGGGAAACTCAATGTTGCAGTAAAGCACGGGAAGTTTTTTAATGAGTTGTTAAAGGTGTTGATAGCTGTAGGCAGTAAGGATCTTCTTTACCGGTCTGCCTTGCACCAGATTCCTCATCATTATTATTATTATTACTATATATTAATACTATGATTATCTAGCCTGGTGAGACCATCCTGATCTCGCGAGCTTTCAAGGTTTCACTCGCAGATCAGTCTGGAGACTCTCCGTTAAAGAAAATTTGGAGCCGTTCACCAAACGAGCGTCCAATCAGCGTTGGCTTTGAGGCGGGTTGAGGTGTGACGCAACGAGAAGCGCGACAGTTCAGTCTAAAGAACATGGCGGCTTCAGCCGATGAAACTAGCGTTAGCGTGGCTATCGAGCAAGTCTTATCGGAATTACAGAGTATTTCTTCACTGAAAGAAGAACAAAACACTGCTCTGGAGGCTTTTCTCAGAGGAAAAGATGTTTTTGCTCTTCTCCCGACTGGTTTCGGCAAGAGTAGCCTGGCTTGTGGTTGTGTTTTCGTCGTTGCTCTGTTAGTACGTCATATGCTTCGTTGATCTGATTGGTTTATTTGGCCCGTCTATCACCAACATAGGCCAATCAGCTAACCAGTATTTTCGCCCCTTCCCAAAATTACTTCAACGGAAGGTTTCCAGATGGATATGCGGAGTAAATCCATCTGGCGGAGTCAGATTAATGATTATCCTCTGATCTACAAACTTTATTGAGTCCTTTATTTTCCTCCCTGCAATCCTTCCTGAAAATAAAAACCTGTTGCTTTTTTCAGAGGTGTGCAATTTCATATCAACATAGGAGCCTGAGGTGTGTCCTCGCCTCCTCGGAGGACATTTTGCCTTTCCTGGAGACTTATTTTAGCATATTTGCGTAAAAAATACCTTAATCTTTTTAATAACTTTTTTAATCCCACTGAATTCATCAGTCAGAAGTACAACAGACTATAGGTCTGAGGTTTAAAACATCTCCAAAATTTTAATATCCATAAATTCAACTGAACTCTTCTGTTAAAAGCCTCTTTAATTACTAATGTTTGGTTCGGAAAGCACATTCTGCTCGTTTAGACATCGGTTAAACTGAGTTCCAGCTCTCACCCGTTTCAGCCCCAGGTCATCCATCATAATGTGGCTCTCGTCATGACTGTGATCACCGTCATTAACAAAAATATCCTCCAGCGGGTGTTCTGCAAGTATTACCACCCGTACCTGAGTCAAGAGGGAATGAAAATAATAAAAAAGAGATTTTAGGTCTCAGACTTAAAGTTATCAGGGTGAATAGATGACTGCGGCGTACCTTGTGCTCGTAGAGGGCGTCTACCAGCGTTATGAGACGCCTGGCTTGAGTTTTTTTGTTGAGCGTCAGGAGAGGAATGTTCCGAATAAAGACGGTGTCAAACAGCCGGGATATTTCCAGGTAGTCGCTGGCCCCCAACGGCTGAAAATACATTGCATTTTATTCTGTTTACATTGAACACTTTCATTTTGTCGGGTTTTTAATTCCTTTTTTCCCTCATAATAAGCCAGTTACGAAGTTGTATCCATATAATTTCAATTCCATTTCAATTCAGTTTATTTCTATAGCTCCAATTCACATCATGTCATCTCGGGTCACTTTCCAGTTCAACCAGATCATCCAGTCTGATTGATTCAAAGTTTTCTATCTAAGGAAAACCAGCTGATTGTATCGACTCATTGACTCTTCAGCAATCCCTCACACTTTATAATTTTGTTTATATATTTTACTTTTCCCATCTTATTAGCCATGTGCCGATCAGAGCCCATCACAGCATCAAATCCATTCATTCTTCCATTGCTCTCATGTACGTCGACATGTTTTTATCAGGAATCAGAATTATAGGAGATGAGAAAGTATCATCAACTGTTTTAGTGGAGGAGGCAGCAGAGAAAAGCTTTTTTTATTCAAAATGTAAGATAGAGACAAAGTTGAAATGCTCTTCAGAGGTTTGCAGGTAGCTTTAAAAAAATTTTTATTTTCCACCAGTTATAGTGCTCTATATTCCGGCGTTTCACACACTTCTCCTTCCCTGCTGCTTCAGGCTGAGCTCAGAAAGCCGTCTCCTCTTCCCTCTGTTGTCCAGGTCAGTGATTTCCAACCAGAGGCACTCGTACCCCTAGTGGTCCGCAAGTGCATTGCAAGGGGCACATGAAAACACCGTTTTTGTTTTTCTTTATGAGAACCCAATTAAAAAAAGGTTCTAACAACCAAAAAGTAATTTTTTCTCATATGTTTGAGTTCATCTTCAGCTTTGATACATCCAAACCAAGCAGAGGAACAGACTGGATGATATCAGCCGATTTTTCACACTGAGCTAACAGTTAATCAAAGCAGCTCAGGTGTCTTGATGAAAACAAAGTAAAACTAATTTAGTTAGTCTAACAAATATTTTTGTTCTATATTTTGTTCCCAATTCATCAAGTTTAAATGTGATTATAGCAGAATTACTCAGAGGAGCTTCAGGTTTATAAATACAGGTTTATAATATGATTTTATTTAGGATTTATTTCGGTTTCTTACTAACCTCCAGGCATCATATTTATGTTGCTTTTTTTTTTAGATGAAAAGTATAAATGCCTAAGAATTAAGTTCAGATAAAAAAAGATTAATTAAAATATTCCGTAAAAGTTTAAAAAACAATCCACTGGACTTGGTTTCCAAGATTTGAAGACGTTTCTCCACCTCTCAAGGAAAATTTCTCAATTCAAATGTCTGGATCCGCAGTGAGTTTGAGTCTTTATATATAAGACTCAAACTCATAAAGACTCAAACTCATAAAGACTCAAACTCATAAAGACTCAAACTCATATAAGACTCAAACTCATAAAGACTCAAACTCATAAAGACTCAAACTCATAAAGACTCAAACTCATATAAGACTCAAACTCATATAAGACTCAAACTCATAAAGACTCAAACTCATAAAGACTCAAACTCATATAAGACTCAAACTCATAAAGACTCAAACTCATAAAGACTCAAACTCATAAAGACTCAAACTCATAAAGACTCAAACTCATAAAGACTCAAACTCATAAAGACTCAAACTCATATAAGACTCAAACTCATAAAGACTCAAACTCATATAAGACTCAAACTCATATAAGACTCAAACTCATAAAGACTCAAACTCATAAAGACTCAAACTCATATAAGACTCAAACTCATAAAGACTCAAACTCATAAAGACTCAAACTCATAAAGACTCAAACTCATATAAGACTCAAACTCATATAAGACTCAAACTCATAAAGACTCAAACTCATAAAGACTCAAACTCATAAAGACTCAAACTCATATAAGACTCAAACTCATAAAGACTCAAACTCATAAAGACTCAAACTCATAAAGACTCAAACTCATAAAGACTCAAACTCATATAAGACTCAAACTCATATAAGACTCAAACTCATAAAGACTCAAACTCATAAAGACTCAAACTCATATAAGACTCAAACTCATATAAGACTCAAACTCATAAAGACTCAAACTCATAAAGACTCAAACTCATAAAGACTCAAACTCATAAAGACTCAAACTCATAAAGACTCAAACTCATAAAGACTCAAACTCATAAAGACTCAAACTCATATAAGACTCAAACTCATAAAGACTCAAACTCATAAAGACTCAAACTCATAAAGACTCAAACTCATAAAGACTCAAACTCATATAAGACTCAAACTCATATAAGACTCAAACTCATAAAGACTCAAACTCATAAAGACTCAAACTCATATAAGACTCAAACTCATATAAGACTCAAACTCATAAAGACTCAAACTCATAAAGACTCAAACTCATATAAGACTCAAACTCATATAAGACTCAAACTCATAAAGACTCAAACTCATAAAGACTCAAACTCATATAAGACTCAAACTCATAAAGACTCAAACTCATAAAGACTCAAACTCATAAAGACTCAAACTCATAAAGACTCAAACTCATATAAGACTCAAACTCATAAAGACTCAAACTCATAAAGACTCAAACTCATAAAGACTCAAACTCATAAAGACTCAAACTCATAAAGACTCAAACTCATAAAGACTCAAACTCATAAAGACTCAAACTCATATAAGACTCAAACTCATAAAGACTCAAACTCATAAAGACTCAAACTCATAAAGACTCAAACTCATAAAGACTCAAACTCATAAAGACTCAAACTCATAAAGACTCAAACTCATAAAGACTCAAACTCATAAAGACTCAAACTCATATAAGACTCAAACTCATAAAGACTCAAACTCATAAAGACTCAAACTCAAAGACTCAAACTCATATAAGACTCAAACTCATAAAGACTCAAACTCATAAAGACTCAAACTCATAAAGACTCAAACTCATAAAGACTCAAACTCATAAAGACTCAAACTCACTGCGGATCCAGACATTTGAATTGAGAAAGCTTCCTGGAGAGGTGGCGAAACGTCTTCAAATCTTGGAAACCAAGTCCAGTGAATTGTTTTTTAATCTTTTACGGAATGACTATGACCTGGATGACTGAGAATCTTCATCAGCATTAATTAAAATAATCTGTATTATAATAATTATGAATTATGTATTTATTATATAATAAATACATTATTATAATTATTATAATTATAATAATGTATTAAAATAATCTGCTCCGCATATCCATCTGGAAACCTTCCGTAGAAGTAATTTTGGGAAGGGGCGAAAATACTGGTTAGCTGATTGGCCTATGTTGGTGATAGACGGGCCAAATAAACCAATCAGATCAACGAAACATATGACGTACTAACAGCCAGGCTACTCTTGCCGAAACCAGTCGGGAGAAGAGCAAAAACATCTTTTCCTCTGAGAAAAGCCTCCAGAGCAGTGTTTTGCTCTTCTTTCAGTGAAGAAATACTCTGTAATTCCCATAAAACTTGCTCGATAGCCACGCTAACGCTAGTTTCATCGGCTGAAGCCGCCATGTTCTTTAGACTGAACTGTCGCGCTTCTCGTTGCGTCACACCTCAACCCGCCTCAAAGCCAACGCTGATTGGACGTTCGTTTGGTGAACGGCTCCAAATTTTCTTTAACGGAGAGTCTCCAGACTGATCTGCGAGTGAAACCTTGAAAGCTCGCGAGATCAGGATGGTCTCACGAGGCTAGATGGAACTAAAACAAGCCAATCCTAGTCAGAAATCCTGCTGGATTCTAAGAAAAAGAAATGCAGTAATGCTGTAAAAATGAAGCTTCCAGCAGGATAACAAGCCTAAAAACAACCAGAGCTGCATATTCATGTGTTAGAATGGCCTAATTAGAGATCAGACTTGAATCCAATTAAGAATCTATAAACAGTGATTAAAAGATGAAGCTCTTTAAAGCAGTTATGACTAAAATGAGGAGCTGAATACTAACGTATGAAACATTTCCTGTTTTTTACTTGTCTTAATAAAAATAATTCTTTTCACAATAATGAGCCGTTTTGTCTTGGTCTAGAAAATTCAAATAAATTACATCAAGGTCTTAGTAACCTGAAAAAAAGTGAGAAATGAAAGCAGAGCAATCGTTCTGCATGGCTCTGTGTTCATGCATTCCAACTATCAGGCCAAACAAAGTGAAACAGTGAGGGAATAACGCAGACTCACCCTGTCACACAGCTCCTCGAACGTACAATCTGCGATCGTCCCGCACGCTTTGTTCAGACGGACTTTCCTGTTGTGAACATTTAAAACCCGCGGTCGGGTAACTGCACAATAAAATAAGCAAATAAAGGTGAGTCATGCTCTATATCAGGCTGTAGAGTTCAGAGAAATGTTGGCTGAAGCTCCCTCACTGTCGTTCTGTTTAAAAGCCAGCTCGTCAAACATCTTGTCCAACGTTGCCTCTGCATCAGGCTCACTGGAGCTACACAGAATGAAGCAGAGCAGCTTAGGAGAAAGAAAGAAGGAAAAACAGGGTTTCTGTGTCCTGTTTAGTTCACATGACTTACAGAAAGTAGAGTTTCCCAGCAGAAGGTCTGTTCCTTTTGCGATAGTCGATCCCTGAATCAAGACGAAGAGTTTGGCAATATTTCTGCAGGTGGGCAAGAGAATTTCTTCAATGTTTAGTGAGCCGTCTGCTCGCAGCAAAAACATAAAAAAGGTTCACCTTACTCACCTGCAACACCGCGATAAAAGGCACAAAGTTGACTCTCTGCAGTCCGTTTTTATACAAATCTGGTGGAACACATAAAATATTAGCTGTAGCTCACATCAGATATCGATTAAACAGAATCACTGTTGACACATTTTTTGTGTCAGAACTCATGTAGCCGATAACCGATATCGATACCGATGTTAAAGCTGGACAAAAATAAGTAGTCATTGAAAATAGCAGTTTTGTTATCCATTTCTGACACTTTGAAAAATAATATACTCAAATATATTTTCATATGCTGATATCAAATTCATTTTTAAAAACGCGGTATCGATCTATTTTACTTTCAAAATCTTGTGAAATTTCATCGTTGTGTTACAAACTCTCGTGATATTTTGCAAATTCTTGTGAGATTTTGTTAGTAAAATAGATCGATACCGCATCAATATATCAACATATAAAAATATGGCAACATTTGGTGAATTTTCGGGGGATTTCGTAGCATAACGATGACATATCGCAATATTTCATTAGTAAAAGAGATTGATATGGTGTTTTTAAATGGCAATATATCAGCATATGAAGATATTGGGATATTTTAATGTATCAATATTTTTTCCCTCGTCTTTAGAAGTTTTTAAGTCTGTAAAAAAGAAGTTTTTGAGGAAGAAGAAGAAGTAGTATTTTTTATTTTTTTTTAGACTTTAGAAACTCAGAAGCTGATCAAATATCGGGTTAAATATCGGTGGGGTGGCCGATGTCCGATATTCAGTTTTAAGGCCGATACCGATAGGGGGCCGATTATATCGTGCATCCCTAAAAGGAATCCATCATTTAGGGCTGGGCGATAAGACGATACATATCATACGGACGATAGAAAAGTGTCTATCGTGGTAATTCTATTCTATCGTTTCTAATACAATTGTATCTCGTATTCAAGCAAATATTTCCCATGATAGACTACAACAGACGTATTAGTGCAGCCACGTTAAATCATGGATGGCCTCAAACTTTCTGAATCTGAATGAAAGTAAGAAAGAAATTATAATGTTTGGTTGTAGTCCAGCAGTTTTTCCCCCTGGCTTCTTGGGCCCTCTTACACCTAACATTCGATCAACAGTAAAAAAAATCTAGGTGTAATATTTGATGACAGGTTGAAATTTGATCGCCAGGTTAGTTCGGTTGTAAAAAATAGCTTTTATCAGTTAAGAATTTGATCAAAAGTGAAAGGGTACCTGCCACAAAAAGATCGTAATCCATGCTTTTATTAATACAAGATTGGATTACTGCAACTCTTTATATGCTGGCTTGGACCGCTCACTTTTACACCTTCTGCAGTTGGTACAAAATGCAGCTGCCCGTCTTCTTACTGGCACATGTAAACGTGACCAAATATCACCTGTTCTAGCCTCACTGCACTGGCTCCCGGTTATTTTAGGATAGATTTAAAAATTTTATTGTTTGTTTTTAAAGCTCTTAATGGTCAAACCCCCCCAGTATTTGACTGAGCTTCTCCAAATTCATGCCCCGGCCAGAACACTGAGATCCTCTAATCAGCTGCTACTGGCGATGCCTAAAACCAGACTAAAAGCTAAAGGTGATCGAGCCTTTATGGCACCGAGGCTCTGGAATAACTTGCCTTGGCATATTGGCCCCTTTCAGGTTTTTAAATCCTCTTTAAAATCACATTTTTTCTCCCTGGCTTTTAATCATGTCTAAGTGGACATTTGGCAAAATTTTATTTTATTCTAAAATGTATTTTAATTGAAACATTTATCTTATTCTATTTTTATGTGTTCATGTATTTTAGCCTTTAGCTTTTATCTTATGTTCCTTAACTGTGATTCCTGTACAGCACTTTGGTCAAGCCCGGTTGTTTTAAACGTGCTTTATAAATAAAGTTTGGGTTGAGTTGAGCCACGTAGCCTACTCATAGCTTATAAGATAAAATAAGATTTTTTTTTTTTTATCCACAAAAAAGCGCCGTCCTGTGGTTCTTTACGGCTTTTGATTCACACGCGGGTTCGCGACATGCTTTACGTTACTTAACTCATGAGAGATGGAGACGCAGGAGGCTGAAGTATTGAACCCGTGGTCGCAACAAACAGAGACAGCTACGCAGGCAACCCAAGATGAAGAAATTTGACCAAAAAGAGGAGGGCGCACGTCTGTGATTTGGTTACATTTTGGATTTAAGAAGTCCGACAAGGAGCAGACAACGATCATTTGCAAACTATGCTACAAGACTGTTCCCTCACCCAACGGCAACACGACTAACCTCTTCTATCACCTAAAGAACTGCAGTCATTTCATTTAAATACCTGTAGCATTTAGTAGGATACTGTAGCCCCACCTCCGCCTCATCTTATGCATATATATTGCTGCACTACAATTTATTTTTCTAATTTGTGACAGTTCTATAAATCTCACTTCAAAATAAAGTTGAAAAAATAAACAATTATATTGTTTTGTCATATTTTTCAGAGATTTGCTGAAAATGTACTTAATTGGTGCATATTGCGATATATATCGTTATTGTGATATAAAATAGTCCATATCGGGATATGTGACTTTTTCCATGTCGCCCAGCACTACCGGCATTGTTGAGTTTCACAGAGAAATGGTCCAAAACATATGATCAAAGGAATAATTAAATGATTTATTACACAGCAAACCCTCATCTCCATTCCTAGACCTAAAACTGCATTAGAGAATTAGAGTATAGGTCTGATTTATGCCGGCTGATTGATTCATTCCCATAAATACAGGAAATGAAGAAAGATTAGCAGCAAACTTAAAAATAACAACAGCTAAAAAACATTAAGTAGTCACAGTATTTGTATTGCAGAAAAGAGTCTTTACATGTGAATAGATGGACTTAAATTTCTTTAACCAATAATTACTTCAGCTTCAATTGCAGATTGCGTATAAGAAGGATACATTACACAATGCATTTTTAAACGGCAGCTGATTTATTAAAGAACCGTTTATTTAGATAAACACCATGACAATAAGTAAAGTAAATGCCCAAAACGTGCTAATTACCTTCAGGCTGACGGTTTGATGTTGCCACGACAACAACGCCGTTCAGAAACAGGTTTTCAAAAAGCTGCTTTAGAATCATGGCGTCTGCTATATCCGTCACCTGAAATGAGAGGCAGCGATTAAGCAATGGAATAAAACTGTTCAACCTGCTTTAAAAAAGGTAGTTTAATTCACCTGAAACTCATCAAAGCACAGCAGACAAGCCTCCTCGCTGATCTCTTCTGCAACTGGAGCGATGGGGTCATAAGATTTGGCCATTTTTCCTGCTTTCCTTTTGGGCATGCTCTGTTTCAACCGATGGATCCCTGAAAGGAGGCATCACAAGTTTAGACTCGATAAAATTTGACACATCCGACGAGAACATTCAGCGAATATTCAGCTTAACTAGAAGCTCTTCACTCTCCTGATGGAGAAGTGTTTGCTGTTTTGCTGATGCATCCTGATCTATGGTTTTCATGAATTATTCAGCATAATGTTCAGTAATCTGTCCGAACAGCCAGGCTAACCTCCAAAGACGGCTTCTTTAAAACTGCACCAAGAACTGTACTCACGTTTATGCACATCCAACATAAACCCATGGAAGTGAACCCTCTTTTTCCTCTCCGTTTCCACATATGAATAAAACATGTCCATCACCATAGTTTTCCCCGTGCCTGAAAGAAGAAGAGGACAGTTAGGGTGGAATGAATACATAAAGGGGATTAAATTCAGATGATCGGTTCTCTTACCAACGTCGCCGTAGATGTAGCAGCCTTTTGGAGGCTTTGGTTTAGTTAAAAACTAAAGAACAACAACAAAAAATGTTAAGATTTTTTTTTTTTTTTTTTGAGAAAATAATGATTGAAAGCAGGTCCATGGATGACTCTGCTCTATTTTAGCAATAAATAGGCATTATAAAGTGAATTAAACACTTTAGTGGTTGGAGCAAAAATTGGAGACTACATGTTCAGAACTAAACAATAAATCCAGGTTACTTTTTTTACTGATAGATTTGAGGGGAAAAAATAGACCTTTAACTTGAAGTAATATATTTAAAGAGGAAAACAGGATGAGGGTTAATTTTCTTATTTTTTAAAAAGACAAATATTATAATTTTACAAAATCATTGGCAGCACATTTATTAAGTGTACCCCAACATTTAAAGAAATGTTTACGAGATAGAGAGTTCCATTCCATCCATTTCCCTCATTGTATAGAAGCAACCCAATCAGACTTCTAGAGCGATCTTTTATAATTCTTCTCTCCAATCTTTATAGACTTCTCTTTTGCTTCATTTTTTATAATTTGCAGTCAAGAGTCAAAGATTACTGTGGTAAAGCATAGATTGTGTGGAACAGAACAAAAGATTTTTCACCATAACCAATAGGGAGCACAGATCAGTTTTTTACATATTCATCCTTTGCTTGAGAACAAACCCACTTCAACTTTTTGTGAAACGTATACAGCTCTAATTAAAAGGCTTAACTTATGGAGGAAACTGGGATAACACAAACAAAATATATATATATTTTTATCCCTATCAAACATCGTAGAGGTTAGGGATGCACGATACAATCGGCCCCCTATCGGTATCGGCCTTAAAACTGAATATCGGACATCGGCCACCCCACCGATATTTAACCCGATATTTGATCAGCTTCTGAGTTTCTAAAGTCTAAAAAAAAAAAAAAAAAAAAAAAATACTTCTTCTTCTTCTTCCTCAAAAACTTCTTTTTTACAGACTTAAAAACTTCTAAAGACGAGGGAACAAATATTGATCCATTAAAATATCCCAATATCTTCATATGCTGATATATTGCCATTTAAAAACACCATATCAATCTCTTTTACTAATGAAATATTGCTATATGTCATCGTTATGCTACGAAATCCCCCGAAAATTCACCAAATGTTGCCATATTTTTATATGTTGATATATTGACGCGGTATCGATCTATTTTACTAACAAAATCTCACAAGAATTTGCAAAATATCACAAGAGTTTGTAACAGAACGATGAAATTTCACCAGATTTTGAAAGTAAAATAGATCGATACCGCGTTTTTAAAAATCTATTTGATATCAGCATATGAAAATATATTTGAGTATATTATTTTTCAAAGTGTCAGAAATGGATAACAAAACTGCTATTTTCAATGACTACTTATTTTTGTCCAGCTTTAACATCGGTATCGATATCGGTTATCGGCTACATGAGTTTTAAAATATCGGCATATGGGATATCGGCCAAAATCCCAATATCCTGCATCCCTAGTAGAGGTCTTGGCAGCACATGAAGTGGGAGAGTTTTATTTGTTCCGCAGTTAGAAAACATTCCCAATTAATCAACAGGTCACAGGATTTTAGAGCTATTGATTCTTAAACATCACCAGAGTTGGATCAATCAGGTAATTTACTGCCGTTTGATCAACAACTGTTGACTAATAAAAGCACTTACCTTAATCTCATTTTAAACCTAGACTTTAGACAAATATTAACCCATGTGAGCCTCGGGGCATTGTTAGATCCAACGATTGGGGCAGCATTAGTTTTTAGTGACTCAAATATTCTACAGTAATTAAAAAAAAATAAGAATTCCCCCACTATTTTCCAAATATCACTCCAAATATATCATGCAACAAGCCAGACGGTGCAGGGAGACGACATGAGACACTATGATAACAGGGTCAGTGATCAGAACCACTACAACTGAAGGAAAATGGGCGGTTCTAGACAGGGGCCAACAGGGGCCAATGCAGAAAAGGATTAGAGTTATAATTGGTTGCAGTCCTAGTTTGAACCATTTAAATTTTAAATAGTTTGATCAAATTTTGTTTCCCTGATAAACAATTACATTTTTCACCCACATGGCAAAAAGTTTGTTTCATGCTTTCTTCTGTGCCCCCTTGAAATAAAAGCTGCCCCTCTATTACATTTGATATGGTAGACAGGTAGGTTTACAGTGTAGGGACATTTTTGGCACATTTGGATCGCCGTATTTTGTAACTGTTATGACCCAGTAAACAAATGGAGATTGTTTCTAAACACGTGTTTATGTTTACCCTTGAGAAGATGGATGTGGGTCTGTTGGTGTATCCTCTCAGCGTTCTGCGCAGCTCGTCCAGCGTCTGAAGCACCGCTCTCTGGTGCTCGTCTTCCCGCAGGCTCCCGGCTCGGATCAGCCCGTTGTAGTGATCCAAAGGTCCGCTGAACCCACCGCCGCTCACACCGCCCTCATCTTCCACGGTGCTCGCCGCCGTCTGACCTGCTGTCACCGCGTAACCTGGCTCACATCACAGCGAGACAAAAACAGTACGTCGGCTCCTTCATTCACATCCGCAGCTACGAGTTCCGCTAAAATAAAGACTGATAGTTTAAAAAATGCGCAGTCAGCGCGTCTCACCTCGCCTGCTCAGCTCTTTCAGAGATTTTAGGAACTTTCTAGAAGAACAATGCTCCGTTAAAACAAACTTTATGCCCGCCAAGGCTGACGGTGACATCTTCACAGAGAGCGGTATGTAGGCAGACATCTTGGGGTCAAAGGTTAACGGTGAAACTTTATTAGCAAACACCGCGCCGAACACAGCAAACTGTTTCAATGTAATCCTCTAGGGGGCGACAGATAACCAGTGCAGGGAATGTTTTTAATAGTGGAAATATTTTTCCTTTGTTATTTCTATTTTATTTAAATAAAATTTTATCACTTTCGCAAACATTTACGTAAAACCAAAGCAATACCAAAAAAAGTATAAATGAAAACACAGAGACGTTTAATGTGTTCTGTTGGTAATTAATGTGACTCTACTTAGTACTTAGGGTTAATAGAGAAAGATTAGCATAAAACAGATTTTTATGGGTTAAAAACGTTTGGAAATCCACATAATCCCTTTTCTTCCATTTTACAGTTATGTTTCCTTTAAACACAGTAAGTTTTGTGCTTGTAAGGATTATAAATTAGAATGCGATATAAAAACCTTATGCTCGGAAAATATAAAAATTAAAGGAAATTACCACCTGATCAGACAAGTGCTAATTATCTTTTAGAGAAAACAATTAAACTGTCGTGGCAAGAAAATGTCGACAGTAATATAAGTCTGTCTGCATTACTGGAAAGCAACATAAATGGTAGAATTCATCAAAACAAAATAGTTTTTTCAGCATTTTTCCTTCCCTCCTTTACAACACCAACTGTAGCTCACCTATCCTCTTTTTACAGGTAATTTTATTGTGCAATAAATCATAAGATATTAAAATTTTTGTACGAAAAAAAATTTAAATGACCAACCCAAAATCTGACAGTAAAAATCTCAAATGTAAGATTGATAAATAATTCATTTATTAACTGAAGCTTTACAGAAGGTTTTGTTGTTGTTGCCATTGTCGATGCAAGTTATCAATAAATAAAATTATTTAAAGTTGATCAAATTTAAGAACCTGAGTTTTCTCTTTTATTAAGACGTCCTTTTATAACATAAAGGCATAAATATTTTTTTACAGTATACTGAGTTAAACAAATTGTATGTCATTATATTTACATTTTTTTTTCAGCTGTATTAAATATTGACTAAATAAGGAGGGAAAATAGTTTTTAAACATTATGAAACTTATTTGTAGGACTTAAAAACATGATTTAACAAAGTATGAGACAATTATGTTACGGAATAAAAAAAGATTATTAAAACATGTGAGAAACGCTTATAATTTCTAATATATTGAGATGTAAAATCATTAAAAGACAGGGTATGAATCTATCAGACTATCCGCCCCTTCTTTTCAATAAAGTAGATTCTAACTGTGATATTGGTCTCTGTAATCCAATCTTTCTGTTAGCAGCACTTTAAAAATGGGGGTTGTGGTTTCATGTTGCTTTCTGTCACAGAGAGAGCTTCATTACATTTGTGTAACTTTATTTATAGTTCTTTTGCCAAGTTTTGACTCACATCATGCATGTTTGTTTCTGTCTAGTGATGACATCCATAAGGTTGAAGGCTGTCTGGATTCAGCACAGCAGCCTGAGCTCCTTTCCTACCCTGGATAGTTAGGGAACGTTAATATTTTCACTGTAGAAAATAGCTTCCTCTCTAAAAAATGTCTAACTCATTTTAAACACCTTAATTAAACTGAAAATAGCTGACTCTATGCTATTCTTTTTTATTTGGTAGCAACTACCACACTGAAGAGTGGTGTCAGAGGGAACTTGTGGTTATTCGGGATTGGATCAGTAGTTTTCCACTGGTCATGTGTAAAATTGAGAATAATGAATGTAGGCAGTATTCTAAGGCCGCCATCAGTCTCAGGGCTTTTCCAGGTCATACATTATTTCCTTTCAATGCCTAAACTAAGCCCTAAATGTAATAAATAGCCTTAAAAATAAGCGTAATGCTTAACAGAATCTTGTACTGGTTATAAAAAGAGCTTTGATGTGCTGAGCCAACTGGAAGTGACATCATTCATGAACCGGAAAGAGCATCAGACTGTGGGCTCCTAGCGTGCTAAAGCTCATACAGTGCTTTAGTGTGTCACTATAAATCATGGGTAAAATCATCCAATCCTTTTCTCCAGCCACATTATGTGCCGTTTTAATTGAGAGGGCAGCTTCTTGCTTGTAAAAACTTTATTGTTTCTTTAGATTATTTGTTTATCAAACTGAATTTAAACAAATGTTTTCTATCAGGTTTTTTTCACAGATCTCAGGCTTATATTTGGTTGTTTTACAACCAGTACATTTTAAAAGGATAATGAAGGGAGAAAAAAATTCCACCGATCCCATTTTAAGCCAATATATTTCATGCATTTCCAACTTAAATGCCTTTTGCTCATAACAAAACATCTGCATGATACCCAGCAGCTAACAGGGAAGTATTCTGCTGCTGCAGAGAAGCAGAAACTATGTGTGACTGCACCTCCACAGCTGCACTCAGCTAGAGTCTACGACAAAACATGGCAGACAACTGGCAGGGCTTACAGGCTTGTTGTCATGACAACAGAGGTTTCCCCTCCCTCCCTGTCTCTTTAATGCACACACACACACACATATTGTCACTCGCTCACTGTCTGTCAGTGCCTGCTTTACACACACACACATTTTTACAGTGGAATCCGGCTTCATACAGGCGCTGTGCTCTTGGTGGCAGGGAGGAAAGCCGGCGTTATCTGGGAGTGAATAAGGATACAGCACATCTGCTTGGATGGTGAGTGCAGCCCATGATTGATTCATGTTTGTTTATGTGCCCCATCCTTTGACTGACCTCTTAAAATATTCTGCTCATGCTAACGGCAGGCTTGTTGTCTCTGGATAAATGTGCTGCTGCAAGAAAGATGAGCCTACATTCCTGATCTGCCCCCCCCCCCCCCCCCCCCCTTCTTTAAATACTAGGGTGGACTGTGTCATCTTAATGGTAATTCATAGCTGGGTAGCCATGGTGAAGTCAATTTCACCCCCCCCCCCCTCTTTCCCCCTCCCTCTCTCTTGCAGTGCTGAATGCATTAGTTTAATGAGATGTCTGCAGCCTGCGTGCCGAGCAGCAGCAGCAGCAGCAGTGTGTTCACCAAAAAGGAGAGGAGGAAAAAAGCAGCACACTGAAAAAGCTAGATGGCTTTTCCTGCATTGCTAGGAATTTAGCTTTACTGTCATCTTTAGGGCTGTGGGGTATGAAACAAAAGGTCTCTGCTGTTGGGCTTTCACAATAGAGGACAGCAGGTAATAGTCACCTCCCTTTCCCTATTAGGTTTATTTATGTGTTATCAGTGCAGGATGGAGGTGGTGTTTCCTAAGAGATCATGCATGGCTACTCTTTGTCTAGTTTAATTATTGCAGCTCTGCTAAGTGCTGCTTCTGTAAGTGGGTTAGAGTGTTTTACTGTTCAGATGTTGCTGAAATCTATGTCTCCTTTGCAATTCCCCCCCTGCTTCTAATGGAGGTTAATGCTGCTCCTTAGTACCCAGCTGCTGAGGAGCAGAGGAGGATCAATGTGCAAGCAAAGTGCAGGTCTGAATGTGTGTTTTTCTTCTTCTTTTGTCTGCAGCTCCAGATGAGCGTAATTGCTGCAGCAGCACAGAAATCAGGCAGCAGCAGCAACGGTGACATGCAGTCGGCCGCAGTGGCTCCTTCCTTCATCCCCAGCCAGCCGGGGAAGATACCGGGCAGGAAGAGGGGGAGGCCCCCCCTCCGCAGCGTGGCTAAGATGGATTTCCCTAACCGGTACCTCGAGTCACTCCCACCACTCAAAGTGCCGAAGAAAAGGGGGAGAAAGCCCGGCTTCAAGGTCAGCCAGATGGGGAGGAGAGAGGGGATGGGATGTTTGGTTGTTTAGAAACGGGTGTGTGCACAAGTAGATGGACACACAACCTGGATTTGGTGGACATGTTTGGTTTTTTATTGTCTTTTTAAACAATGATTTAAAAGATTTAAAAAAAAAACAGAGTTTAATAGCAGCCAGATGTTTAAAAAAGATGCACTGATTGTTCATCCAACTATCGAAATCTGCACATTTTTCCTTAACCAACTGTGACCTTTTTATTGGACAGTCAAATATATTTCACCCTTTTCACCCCAATTATCAATTAAAAAACATTATTTTGAACACATAAATATTATTAAATATTCATATTTATATTATTTAGCTATCCATAGTACTGACCCCATCCTGAACCTTATTTCCACCTCACATAGGTACACATTTGACCACAGCAAATTAAATACAACATTTTCTTATTTAAAAGGGTTTAACTTAAAGCTACAGTGTGTAATAATTACAGGGATATACAGTCAGAAATGTAATATATTATACATAACTATGTTATTTATCATCATCTACGAGCTCAGCCTCTTAACCTTAATATTTGCGTTGCCTTAGAATTCGTTATTTATAATTACATAGGAGCGGGTCTCGCAGCCATGGAGGCAGAGATCTTTGCGCTACGGCAGCGCAGAACCAACAAACTAGCGATTGCGAGATCGCCAAAACGTCACAACGATGTAGAAAAAATAACGGGTATATTTATTATCTTAAGTCTACATGAAATCTATACCCTACACAGACTAATGAAATACTATCTGTAAAATGATCTATGTAAACAAACCTCATCACTTGAGAAGGTAGGTGATGCGGACGTCGTGGAAGACATTTTGTCCCGTAACGCTCGCCGTACTGTTGGGGGGGGAGAAGCGGTGGGGGGGAGATGTTCATGTTGCTGCAGTCTGCAGTCTGACCGCTAGATGTCGCTAAAAGTTACACACTGTAGCTTTAATTTTCTTTAAATGCAGAAGTGAGAATTTAGGTTAAACAAAAAATCTAAAAGAAAAATACATTGATAAACCTATCAAGAAAGTATTGAAAAAAGGTATTAAATTTGTTAATGAGAAATGAAGATCCGATACAGAAAGGATTTGGTGTTTTATTCCAGCCTGAGCAATCAGGGATTAAAAGAAGCTCAGATAAATCTTTCTGTTAAACCTCAAATTTTGCAATTTCCATTTCCTACTCTAAAAATAAAAAACTGTCATATAACCATGAAATCAATGGAAGATTCTATGTTTTTTTTGTGCTTTCCTAATTTATT